CCATTTGGTGAAGTAGTCCACCCCGACAATGACGAATTTACACTGTCCCACGCTGGTAGGAAGGGGTCCAAGTATGTCCAGACCCCATTGCTAGAAAGGCCATGGGCTTAGCACCGAAGTTAAGAGCTTCAGAGGGCAATGGGGGATGTTGGCATACATTTGGTAGACCTTGCATCTCTTGACCATATCTGTTGCATCCTTGAGCATCGTGAGCCAATAGTACCCCTGCCTTAACGTCTTTCCTGCCAAAGCCCGTGCTCTGATGTGGTTGCCGCAGACTCCCTCATGGATCTCTCTGAGTATGTAATTAGCGTCTTCATCCTCTACGCATTTAAGAAGAGGTGTTGAGAAGCCTCGCTTGTATAAGTTTCCATGTAAAATAGAAAATCTAGCTGACCTGTTTCTTAGTTTTGCAGCTTCTTTGGGATCTTCTGGCAAAGTTCTATGTTGATGATACCCTAGGATGGGGTTTATCCAGCTTGGTGGGGCTTGTACTTGCAGCACTTCTTCATCTTTAATGCACACAGATGGTTCTGTTAGGTGCTCCACTGGAATTAATTTGTCCAAACTTTCCTATGAGGCTGTTGCCTACCTCGCCAAAGCATCTGCTCGGGAGTTCTCAACTCTCGGGNTAGGTGCTCCACTGGAATTAATTTGTCCAAACTTTCCTATGAGGCTGTTGCCTACCTCGCCAAAGCATCTGCTCGCAAGTTCTCAACTCTCGGGACATGTCTAATCTTAACTTGCACGAATTTCTTGATCAACTCTTGTACCTTTCTGAGGTAAATGATCATTTTCTTGCCTTTAGCTTCATAAGCCTCCTCTATATGTTTTACCACCAGCTGGGAATCACCACAAATCTTCAACTGCTCAGCCTCCATTGAGTGAGCAAGATTGAGTCCAGCAATAACAGCTTCATATTTTATCTCGTTGTTTGAGGCCTTAAACCCAAATCTGAGGGCATATTTGACGTCTATTCCATCTGAAGAGGTCAATATCAAGCCTGCATCGCTTCCTTGAGCGTTGGCAGCTCCATCCATAGAAAGCTTTCATATGGGGAGGTCAGACACTAACTGCGTTGCTTCTATGGGTGCTGGTGTTGTGAACTCCGCGATAAAATCTGCTAGAATTTGCCCTTTGATCACAGCTCTAAGCTTGAATCTGATGTCAAACTCACTGAGCTCTATGACCCACTTTATCAGCTTCCCTAAAGACTCTGGTTTGTGCAACATTTATTTTATAGGCTGTTCTGTTGGGATTTCGATAGTATGAGCCTGAAAATATGATCTAAGTCTCCTGGCCGTAGTCACCAATGCTAAAACGAGCTTCTCTATTTTTGGGTACCTCCCGTCTGCCCCCCTCAGAGTTCTGCGGGAGTAATAGACTGGTTGCTGAGCCTTGTCTCGCTCCCTTACTAGAGCTGCACTAGTCGAGAAATCTGAAACAACTAGATAGAGGGTCAGTACTTCCCCCTGCAAGGGGCTTACCAGAACGGGAGGGGAGATTAGGTAGGCCATCAGGGCTTTGAATGCTTCTTACACCGGGTATCCCACTAGAACTCCTTTTTTAAGATTTGAAAGAAGGCTGACACTTGTCGCTCAATCTGGAGACAAAACGACTTAAGGCAACTATTCTTCATGTTAAGCGCTAGATCTACCTTACATTAGAAGGTGGTTGCATATCCATAACTGCCTTAACCTTTTTTGGGTTAGCCTCAATCCCTCTACTATTGACTATGAAGCCCAGAAACTTCGCTGCGGACACTCCGAAGGCACATTTCGCCGGGTTGCGTTTCATCTTGTATTCGTTAAGGACCTGGAACGATTATGCTAGATGTGCAATGTGGAGCTCTACCTTTAGTGATTTTACCAACATATCATCGATATAGACCTCCATGGTCGTCCCAATTTGCCTTTGAAATATTCGATTCACTAGATGTTGGTAGGTGGCCCCTGTATTCTTTAACCTAAAAAATATAACCTGATAACAGTATGTTCCCTGCTCAGTCACAAAAGAGGTCTTCTTCTGGTCGGTTGGATCCATCCTGATTTTATTATAGCTTGAGAAAGCGTCCATGAAGCTGAGGAGCTCGTTTCTAGCTGTGGCATCCACTATTAAGTCGATCAAAGGTAAGGAAAAACTGTCCTTGGGGTATGCTCGATTGAGGTCTCTGAAGTTAATGCAGAGTCGCCACTTGTCATTGGTCTTTTTGACGAGAAACATATTGGTTAACCAGGTAGGGTAGTCTACTTCCCTCATGACTTTGGCGTGGAGAAGCTTGCTGACCTTCTCATTGATTGCCTTTTGGCGCTCTGGGGCAAAGCTTCATCGTTTCTGCTTGATAGGTTTGCAGGTGGGATTCACACTTAACTTATGTGTGATAATCGAGGGGTCGATACCTTCCATGTCATCCTGTTTCCAAGGTCCTTTATATCCCTGCTAAGTTTAGATTCGACGTAAACGAGGTACTCTTTCTCTTCATCAAGCTGAACAGGCTCTAGCACATCTGATGGTATTGGCCTAATGTCTAGTTCGTTCCTCATATCGAGCTCATCTAACTGAATATTTTTGACTTCTTTCTGCTTCATCGTGGTCATGTAGCACTCCCTTGCTACACGCTGGTCTTCTCGGACCACTCCAACTCCGTTCTCCATCAAAAAATTCATCACCAGGTGATAGGCTGTGGGGATTGCCTTCATCGCGTTGAGGGAAGGTCTCTCGAGTAGCATATTGTATACAGAAGGGACATCAACCACCAGGAATCTTACTATAGTGGTAGCCTGGTAGGGTGGATCTCCCATTGTAAGGACGAGTTGGATTGAGCGCAGGGGTAATATCCTCTCTCCTGTAAACCCCAATAAGTGAGTACTGACTGACTCCATCTTTTCCCTGCCAATGCCCATTTTATCAAACGCAGAAGCAAAAATGATGTTTGCTAAGCTCCCGTTTTCAATTAGAATTCGGTGAACCGTTCTGTTAGCCACGACAGCTCTTACCACCAATGAGTCATCATAGGAGTATTGGCAACCTTCTAAGTCTGAGTCTGAAAAGGTGATGGCTATGTTCAGCCGAGGTGCCTTGGACACAATGTGCACTTCCAGTACTTCGTTAGCTCTGATTCTGCGCAGGTGAGCCTTCCTGGCTGAACTAGACTCTCCACCCTCTGCGAACTCTCCAAATATGACTCTGATTTCCCCTAGTGGTTGCTAGTGTTGCACAGGAGCTTGTTGCTGAGGTAGTGGAGGTGGTGGAGCTCGAGTCTGATTATCTTGAGCTACGTAGCGATGCAACTGCCCTCGTTGGATCATGAACTCGATCTCTTTCTTCAATTGGATGCAATCATCAGTGTGGTGACCATGATCCTTGTGGTACTCGCAATACTTTATGAGATCTCTTTTTACTGGGTCTGCTTTCATCCAGGGTGACCACTTTAATAATTTCTCATTTTATACCTCATACAAGATCTGCGATATTGTTGTAGTAAGAGGAGAGAGCTGTCGAGGTGTGTATCTCGGCTACGACTCTGGCTGTGGCAGACCTAGGCGATCTCTGACGTCTTCCCTTCTCTTGGGGGAGCGGTCTCTGTCTCTTCTTGGAGACCTATCTCGTTCTCTTTCTCTTCTGGGACTTTGGCCCCTCTTCTTCTCTTCTTTTCCTTTATCTTTTTGCATGGATGAGCTCCCCACCTTTGAGAGAAGAGCTTCCTCACCGTTTATGTACTTTTCTGCCTTGGCCAGCACCTCGGCCATGCTTGCTTGACTGTTCTTCGAAATAGAGAACATCAAATCTTTGGACTGCATGCCTAAACCAACTATAAATGCGGTAATGACAAACTTTTCATCTGGGACATCTACTTTCAGTGACTCCGAATTGAACCTCTGGACATAAGACCTGAGGTTCTCTTGGGGTCCTAGCTTCACGTTCAGTAAGTGGTAGCTCGACTTTCGATATGTCCGAGCTCCTATGAAGTGAGATACAAAGGATATGGAAAGCTCCTTAAAGGAGGAGATCGAAGCCGAGGGGAGCCTATTGAACCACGCTAGGGCTGAACCCTTCAACGTGATAATAAAGGCTCTGTAGTGCATAGGATCTTGATATCCATGCAGCTCTATCTGATTCTTGTAGGTATTGAGGTGATCCACGGGGCCTTTCGTCTCATCAAAAACCTCTATCTGTGGCATTTTGAATTTTGGGGGAGGGGAAAATGCAGCACGCCGATTGTGAAAGGGGACTCAGTCTATTGCACCAGGGTATCCATTGTGGCTAGAGCTTTGCTCTTCACAGCTTCCTTCATGTGGCTGAACTCTTGTTGGATGTCCTTGAAGCGCTGCTCCTAGTATTGTTCGCCCCTGGATACGTAGCTGTATTTAAGGTTTTGATTGAAACCAAAAACGCATTCTAGAAATTGTTTTTGTCCTCATTTTTTTATGCATAACTGGAATTTTAATATTTTGGACCCTTAGTCTGCCATTGATGTGATAGACAAAGTGCCTTCAACGTAAGTGACACTGCAAGAAAGCCATGATATATGTATTTGGAGCTCTTAATTTCTTGATTTTACCCACTTGATCCGTTGGTGAAATATGTGGTTGCTTGGCGGACCACAGGTCTTAATCGGGCCAATCCTTCGACCCAAAGGGCGGTTTAGTGCACAATACTCCTAATATTGTGGGGGTATAGGGAAAGTCCGTCTAACCCTCTCACGAGCCATTAACCCTAAATCACAATAGAGTACCTTCACCACCACTGTACCATGACCTACGCTCCCAGTCCATCGGGCCTGGAGTGTCAAAAATTACGTCGGCCATGCGGTGGTCTGGTCTGAGTCGCCTGACACATTGCCCATAGGCCTACCAGGCTATCGGGCTACCCATGGGGCCAAAGGCTTTTTGTGGATGCATCCTACATACATACATAATGATTGAGCTCTGCCTGTGGTTGAGAGCTAATAATTGCTTGGAGTCTACTAGATAATAGTGTCGTTTTGAGCTTTACGTTTGATGAAATATCTTCAGGCCGATGAAATTGTAGAAGAAGCTAACTCATGGGCAAAGAATGCAACAAAAGGGCTTATCAAAGACGTTCTCCAACGTGAACACATCAATCCGAATACGAAACTTCTCCTAGGTAATGCTCTCTACTTCAAAGGAGCTTGGAACCCTAACGAATTTAATCATAAAAAGACTGAGAAAAGGGACTTTTACCTTCTCAATGGAAACAAAGTTTCAGTTCCCTTCATGACCAGCAAAAACAAATATCTATATGGATCTTTCAATGGTTTTAAATTCCTCAAAATCCCTTATCAACAAGGCCAAGACAGAAGGATGTTCTCAATGTATTTCTTTCTCCCGGACGAGGGGGATGGATTGCAGAATCTGCTAACAAACGTTAATTCTATTCCTGGGTTCTTACACCAGGATTTTGAGCTAAGGAATGTGAAGCTCCTTGAGTTTTGGATTCCAAAATTTAAGTTCTCGTCTCACCTTATAGCTTCAAGGGCCATGGAAGAGATGGGACTGACACTACCTTTCATGAGAGATTGCATGGAGCTGACGGAGATGGTACATGTTCCTGCTGGTGTACCATTTTATGTCACACTGATAATTCAGAAGGCTTTTATTGAAGTAGATGAGGAAGGCACAGAAGCTGCGGCTGTTACTTTGAGTGTTCTTTATGGTTGTTCGCCAAAAGGACCAGTCCCAAAAACTGAGAATTTTGTAGCTGATCATCCATTCATGTTCATGATCAGGGAAGAAACATCTGGCTTGGTGATTTTCACAGGAGTTGTATCCAACCCCCAATTAAAATGATCAACCTGTCAATTCCTTTCGGGGAAGGAAAATGACAAATCCCGATAGGAATTTCATTTTATTTGGAATAAACTTGAAGATAATTTAATGAGGTAGTGTATGATATTTGGTTTTTGCTTTATGCGTTTATATAATTAGCTCCAAGCTTGTTGGAACAATTCTCTATTGCCGAGAATATAGCTCCAAGTAAGAGGGAATACATGCAGTAATGGTTGTGGTTCTACTGCATAAACAGATAGGAATAGATATCCATAGTTTGATCAATATTTTAGAAAATTTTTTTTCGAACAAATAGTAGTAGCCAATTGCTGCTATTACTTAGAACTTTACCTCTTCGATAACTGAAGAGGAAAATCACTTAAGACTATTCCTCTTAAATTATACAGAGTAGGGAAAGGATTTGCCGATTGAGACTTTAAGAATGCCTATAAATATGTAATAATTCACCCCAGAATGATCATGTTTGATCGATAGCAGTTGCCCATACTTGAAGCTTAACGAGCACTTTTTTTTTTGATAGTTTGAATTAACATGTGATTAAGGCATACATACCATTTTTGTGAGGGACTAAACTGCCATGAGCACTGTATGACAAGTTCTCATTCCACTGTAGCCTCTCCTGATAGTTTCCTTTTGATGTGTGAAGCTTAACACCTGATAAATTACTCGGTTACTCGGGGTTTCATTAGCATTATAATCTGTTTGATGGTGTTAATTAAATCTCTCTCTCTTTCTCTCACATGTGGGATTAATTAATCTCTTATGGTTTTGATTAATCTCTTGTTAATATTTCTTTTCATATTCTAAAGAATAAATTTTGAAGAATGCTAGTTGAACTTAAAAACTAAACTTGATAATCTCACCCATTGAATAGATAGTGGGTCTTAATATATGTTAGGATCCACAGTGAAATCAATGGTTATAATTATCAAGTCTAATTTTTAAGTCTAATTTTTAAGTTCATGTAGCATTACTCATAAATTTTTGGATGGCCTAAGCTTGAGGAGAAAATATTCATTACGACAGTGATACCTTGTGATGTGGTATCACCAACCAATAATATTAAAACAAATAAACAAATGAACTTTATAAAAATTAATAACTAACTTGTCATATAAGAAAATAATTTTTTACTCTTATTCTATGTAAGCCCAAAAGGGATTCATCTTGTTCATTTGGAGTTTTATTATCGATTAGTGATACCATGTCATCAATGATGCATAGTATCACCGTTGCATTCAATATTTATTCGAGCTTGAGGCTTTTAATCTAAACTGATGAACACCTGGGAAATCACTAATATACAAGTTTTCACAACAATAATGCTATTACTACATAATTTTATTGACCTTTTAGTGGATTGACAGTGTACTAACTTTATTTAATGTCTGGACTTCCCGTCAATCAAATAATTATAAAAAAAAAATGGGTGTGATTAGTACTACTTTTTTCAAAATTTGAAAAAATATATTTTAATTATTTTCTTACTAATTTAATAACAATAATGAAATTTAATCCTAAGGCTTTCAATAATAAATTTTTTTTCCGGGGTGAATATTACAGACCAGCGGATTAATTAAATATTGAAATAGTCTTTATCTTTTTTTTTTTTGAGGATAATAGTCTTTATCTTAGAAAACATCAAAAAGTAAAGAATTTTGATTTTGCGTTAGTCCTTGTATATATATATCCTTTGCATGTTCAGATGGGCCAATTACAAAATCAAAAGTCAAGAAGATCAAGGAAATAATGCAAGGATCGGTGCAATCCACTTGAAATGAAACTAGCAAGAGCCCAACACTCAAGATGAGCTTGAAAGAAGAAGAACATTTTAGATAGGGTCAGTTGTTGTTAAGACTTTCAATTTGTTTAAAAGATTTTTATTATTAATTTATAATAAGCGGGCTTGAGGATGCTTAACCCACATATATATATTGAGTAGCGTGAATATGAAAACTTTGTGCCGTAGTATTTAGTGGGTACTTTTGATTTGGACCGTTAGATCATGATCTAACGTCCATTAATCCAAGATGTTAAAAATTAAATTTAAATACCTCTCATTTTTTGTTATGTATTAGAAAGGAAACTTCAAAACCTTATTTATTATGATACCAGGAATACATGGAAAGTATATTTTAGTGTTATGGTAGATATGATAAAGGTGACAGTGGATCTTAGCCGGAAATATTGGTACTTATCTCATCAAGTTTTTGGCTCTGTTGGGAAGATTGTGATGGTTGAAACCAAAGGTCTAACTCATGTTACAAGCTCAAGGGGCTCAACTCTAAGAGGTCTAGTTAGCCAAGCCCAAAGGAGTTTGTACCCGGTCAAGTTTATCAGGTTCCATGAGTTACATCAGTAGAGCAGCATGCAAGGCCATCCGCAAGCGCCTAGGTCTCCTTTGCAAGCGCCCAGGTCTCCACCTCAGGCACCCAACCTTCCTCCTCTACCACCTTGGAGCATGCAGGGTCATCCAAGAGCCTTATCCTCTTTCCTTTTGAAGGAGTCAACACCCATGTCATCATTAGACCCAATCTCATGGAGAGCACCGCAACTGCCTAGCCCANCTATCTAAGCTAACAGACATGTAAATGAATTTTAATGAGTATGACAGTTTACTCGTGTATTTTGTATATATTAAATGCCCTATTCATATGCTAGAGCTGTTAGTGTATCATTGGTACGGATTTAATGGTCTGTCTCTTAGTAAATGTAAAGATGAAAACGACATTTTGTGTTTACTGCTAATGTGGGGGTAAGATCTATTTCACTCTGCAGGGATGAAAAAAAAATGTTGTGATATTGGGTAAACTACTCGTGTGGATTGGATAGACTAACAGTTTTTGAATAAATCACAACTACAAAGAGATGATCCCGCACTATGCCCAATAACTTTAGTCCACCTTATGGGTTCATTTGTAATATTCTATTCCTTCCGTGGGTAATTAATATATGCTCTCTAATAAATTATTAATTTTGCTAATTTGAATTAATGTGTATTTTACTAGTTGGACCTATAAGAAACAAATCCAAGGTAGGACAAATTTGAACTTGTAATGCTACTGACATGTTACTGTTCATTATGTTGAAAGTCTACTATGGATCACATAGAATCTAAGGAGCGAGCATATAAAGCATACTGTTGTGTAACAAGGAAAAAGTAATAAAATAAAAAAAATAATAATAAACCTTTGGTGTCTATAAACAACAGTTAATGCTAAAGTATAACTTCTTTTGAAAATTTGTGAGTGGTTGTTACTATATTAAAGTTTTTTATTTTAATTAAAGAAAAGAGCACTGAAAAATTCAGTTGTTTCAACAAGTAGAAACAAAACTTGCAGCTTCTAATTGCTTCTATGTTTTGTGCTCAATCTAAATAACTAAATATAAGACTGTAATTGATAAAATGTTCTGTACTGCGAAGAAGGACTAGTAAGAGATTAAAATAAAGAGCATGGGAAAAAGAGAAGTTCATCATTTTTAAGAAAAGCGATATTGTACCATCTCATCTCCTTAAAAACTATAATGAGATCTCAGTGGATATGTTTTATCATGCTATCAGCCACATGATATTCAACCCGATAAAAGAGAGACTAGGAAATCAAAAAGGGTTGCCACTTCATGAGTGCATTTATACTAGGTGTTCATGAAAAATTTTGGTTTATCCTTCTAGGTATAAGGTCATTATGTTTTATAATTCGTTTCTCTCTCATGCTGTGGTAGAGATCGTTTTCAGTGTAGACTAAGTTTGTATTTGGTATGGACTAAACTCTTCTGAGTTTTATGCTTGTGTGTTCTTGTGCACATGTTTTTGTACAGTTTATGTTATAGATCATGCAATAAAATATTTTATGTTATTGTTTTACGCCCATATTTGAAACAATGATTCGTTATCCTATGCTTAAGAACATGATATTCCTTACGTCTAGTACATGTGTTTATGTAATTCATTATGGAAGTTTGGAATGCAATCCCGAATTCCCGATGTGTACGTCAAATGATAACCTTTATGGTTATAATCCATATGAGTTTGAATATGTTATGCTGCCTATTCTTATGGAATCATAATACAAATATAAAGGTTGGATATATGTCTAAACACCTTTAGTTTTGCTTGGAGTTGAGTCTTTGAAACTTTGTTAACGTCATACAATTGTACTATTAATGCAATTTTAGAGAAAGTATATAATGTCTAACCCATGTTTGTAACTCCATATTTTCATTACGTTTTGTTGCACCAATAATTCCGTTCATAGCATGTACCACTTGACTAATGAATACTACACCATGGGTTAGAACAAATTATTTTGGGCTAAACTTATGTTTCAATGAAGATATTGTGTAATCACAGATTATTCATATAAGAAACTTTTCTCTTGATACATGTTGTGTATGATTATTACACACGAACTATATATGTTGGCAATAGAGCAGTGTGATGCAAATGCTATTTTTATGAATTGCAAGTTGAAGAAATTACTTAGCTCAAATTTTAAATAAAGAGCTAAAACATTAGTAACTCTCATGGAAAAATTGGAAATGTGGGGGTATAATTAAAATGATATCTCTTGGATTTGCAATTTAAATTTTCTTAATGGGATGGTTTTGTTATATTATCTATTTGTAATGAGGATTGCCATGACCTGTTGAGATCTTTATTGATTGTGGTCGCACTTACAATCTTCTCAGACAAATACATTTTAATGTGATGTTTGTCTTTGATATTTGGAAGACAGGTCAGATCAATATTAAATAGAGAAATTAAGGCATGCACGTCCGAGCGAGACATTCATCCGTGAAGAATGATCATTCCATATTAAAATTATAAATCTCAGTCAAACAAAATTGACAAGTAATTATAGAGCTTTCGAGGAAAGCAATGAGACATGAATATATAAAAGATGATCTATTTCATCAACGAGTTTTCGAGGAAAGCTAACCTTTTGACAAAAGCTATGTCTCAAGAACTGTTGAGGGGGATGAGTCTAAGCCCACAATAG